TCTTCGAACACAATATTTTCATCAGATTAGAGCCAGAGATCTGGACAAGTTGATGATATGGTCTTGGGGAGATGATAACCCGACTTCCTCTCTACTTCGCTAAGACGACAAAACTGTGTTGTGGTCTAAAAATGATTGATTCACTTGCCATACATGGCTGTAGCCAGATTGATTGATTGACCGATTAACTGACTGTTTGAATACTGGCTTGATGCCATTCGCATGTGGTGAAACGTGTTAGACGGATTTTGCCTTCCTGTCTTCCTACACGCTGATCGTTCTTACTTGTTTCCCGGTTTGTGTAAGGCTACATATTTGCTGTTTACGATAAATGTACTGCTTAATTTGTTGTGTGCTCATTTGCCTACTTAATTTGGGATACAGCAGACTAGAAGTCAATATCTCGACGACATAGCGGTCTTTTTGCGACCATCATTCAGTCAGGCTAAACTCAATGGTGGACTGTGAACAATGAAGCAAGCGTATAGGCCACATCTATCAAACATCCAACACGAACGCTTCCATCAACCGGTTGTTCTGGAGGTGAGATCAAAAGGGAGGCGGAACCCGCGAAACTGCACAGTGTTCATAGTTCACTTGGCTGGCATCGAACCCGTAATCACTATCTGTTTGAACCTCGCAGTCAGTCACCATTAATGTAAAGTCGCAATCCGTGTAATTCATGAATCCGGGGAAAGCTGCATGAGGGACTAAGAGGGAAACGTAGTCCTCTGAATTCGAACTAGATTTGTTTAAAAATGTGAATCATGATGTCATCTTTTTTTAAACAGAGGACAATAACAGCATATTGGCTTGTTGTAATGCGTAGCAGAAACCACTATCTATCGTTCTCTCTTCTAGTTAAGGATTACTATAATTCTATTTTTGGAGATAAACCAATTAATTAATGATTATTTTCTCTCACTCAAAAAAACCACAGAGAGGGAGAGGGAGAAGACAGAATTGGAGGGATGTAGATTGGAGCTATTTCCCCTGTCCACGGTGCGCTCCTTCTGTTCCTCACTAGATTGGTTCGAGCATAATGTGAGGGCAATCAGATTTTCAATATTGGAGTCTTTTGCCAACCAACCTTAGACCGTGACCAGGGTTCGGAGTGACAATAGATTACCAACACTACATCTTTTCTATCGGTCGGGAAATGACCCATGACAAGCAAGCAGTTTAGGTTATACCAAAGACGCATGTACTCTGTTGTGACACAGAAGCATGTGGTAATCAAAACGCACACGTTTTGAGCACGCCAAA